GCCGGAGGTTCAGGTTCCCTCCAAGATTTCCTAAGAAATTCTCGACCCAAGCGAATGGAAAATAAAGACTGAAAAAGAGAGAGAGACGGGGGAAAAATCCAACACAAATTAAAAGTGAAAGTGAATTGTTAACATTCGTACGAACGCGAGTGCATTAAGAAATCGACTAAACGTTTAGTCCGGCTACAGCTTCTGTTTCCTGACGCCCCCGTGGGCGTGGTGGTGATCAGACAGAGCCAGAGACAGGGACAGAAAGAGAGACAAATGTAGTAGAGAATTGACACTCGGAGAAACAGTGGATGTCTTGGGGGATTTTGCTCGATTGAACAACAACAAACCGAAACCGAAAAGATCACTTGAAGAATTCCGGTTTGTGGTTTTCCATTGTTGTTGTTGTTGTTGTTGTTGTTGGCTGTAGTTGATTTTTATTGTTGTTGCTTCCCCGCTCCGTTGATTTGTGTATTTTTGTCGGTCATTGGTCTGAGCGAAAAAATCTCAAAAAATTGTGTAGAAATACAGAAAATTATAAAGGTTTTTGGCCAACCCGAATGCCAAATGTCGCACTGACAACACCATGACAAACGGAACCACCAAAAAAGCAATATATGTATGTACTCTTCTGGAAGATCGTGCAAGAATGTGGAGAATTGTGTGGAGATTTGAGCCTCGGATAATGTTCAAAGAAAATAGTGATAGGGAGGGAGGGAGGTAGATAGGGAGAGAGAAATTTAATTGAAATGCGGAAAAGAAATGCGACGGCGGCGGAATGACTCTTGGAATTGGTATCAAAAATTAAAACAAACATTAAATTAGAAATCGTGTGAAATGTGAGATCAAGCCATGAAGATCATGCCAAGACAGAAGCCAAAAAGCCAAACGACAAAGATGACAAGCGGAGAGAGAGATGAGAAGAGATGGAAACATCTGTGCTAATGTTACGCTGGAATCAAGCGCCGCCACCTACCAACTCGAATCTACATACCTCGTACCCCCATTTGACTTCTTCTGTCTGTGGGTCGCCATCGTATCCAATTCCCGAAGCACAGCTCATTTGTTTCTGAATCTAGTTAGATGGTTAGTAGAGGAACTAGACCGGTCTACTGGGTGCCGGGGGCACTCTCACTTTTAAGTATCTCGCAAAAGGCCAAGTGGCAAAGCCATAGCCACAGCCACAGCCACAGCCAGCTGGTCTCGGACAAGTTTTAAGCCTGAGGCTTGAAAGAGGTCTCCACTTTTGACATGCAAAATGGTGCTGCCGCTTTGCTCCGCTTCGGTGACTGGATTGAGTAATATGTAGATGGAAAAGTGGAAAATGATGATCGCTTGAGGGGCTGGGTGGTAGAAGCAGCTCATTAAGAAATCTTGCCCTGAGGCTTGATCAAAATTGAGCAAAATGATCATATTACCAGAAGTCATTCATAATTGGAAGAACCCCAATGGGTTTACGGTAGCTATGTATGTATTTATGGGTGAAATTTATTTAATAATGGCCTTTTTCAATATGCCCGGGTTGGGGTATTTCCCATCTTATCAGCACAAAATGCTACTTATAGATCACTGATCTTTCCACGACTTCCATTCTACATAAATCAGTGATCTTGTTCTTTATAGATTCTGGGGAATCAGCAACGTCAAGTCAAGTGGTTTGACAGCTGCTTTATTGCTGAAATTTAATTAGAAATAAAAATGAACAAAGAGCATCAATTGGCGATCTGTTTGCGAAATCGATCTTTGCAAACTTTATTCAAGTTCTTATTCTCCTCTTTCTACCATCTTGTTTGACTACAATCTACAGATCGTCACAATCCAACTTCAGATCTACAGATCTCCCCCCTAATGCGGGGGCTCTGGCTCAGCTTTCTTTATAAGCCATGGCATGACTTTCATTAGCTGACCGATGGGGCCGCAAGTATTGCATATATTATAATTTACAAGCAACAGTTTCGTATATCGAAATATGAGGTTGAAATGTGACTGTGCCAATGGAATGTTTCGTGTTGTGTGTTTGTTGGCCTCAAAATGGAAGTCAAAAAGGGCGAAGCAGAAACTTTAATTTCATGTAGATCGTACATAGTAATTACAGGCTTCCATTCCAAGCCCATGCAAAAAACTGAAACCAAAACTCGAACGGAATCTCTGTCTGTCGGGCTGTGCCCTTGGCCCACAAGCCACAAGTGTGTGACTAACTCTGTGTCTTGGCATTAATTGCAATAGCAAAGAGAAGAGCCCTGCTCTCGGATTGAGTTCGGAGCACCGTTAACTCTATTTATAGCCAAATGTTAAAGCCATGTTGTGGAGCTGCTTGTTTGAGCAAATTCTTGTTGCCAAACCAACGATTTATTCCAACGATTGTATTCAAATTAGCGAATCCGCGACTCTGGCGGCTCTGGCGACTCTGTCGACTCCGGCGACTGGCTGACCTTCAAAGCCAACACTCAGGCAACATTCATTATTCATTCGTACGCGAACTGTAGCCGCCGCAGACTGGGACTGTGCGTGGTGTTGCAAAACCCTCAGCTCCGTCTGTCTGCAGCTTCCACTGGTAGCTCTGTTGTTGCATGACGAGCGGCACTTCCGCATTCGAAAAATGCCAGCGACCTCTGTGAACTTTGCACTTGAGGATATTTTTGGGGAGAAAATAGCAGCCTGCTGGCTGCCACCTGGTCGTGCAAACATTCCATTGATTTGAAAGTTTTCTCCAAATTACGGAAATTGTTTGCTGCCTGCGCCTCACAGACATATACCATAGACCGTACATCTCTTATTCATATATCTCTTATCTTGAAAGCCAAAGCACGCCTTTGATAAGACAGTTCTCTGGTTTCCCCCGTTCTTCCTATCTATCCTATATTTTATGAATGTCTCTGATGTCACAGATAGGGACACATTGAGAAAATAAATATCTTATATTTGCGTTCGTTCCCGAGAGAGAACACCTCTTGCATGACACGATCGTCACCGTGCGGTCTTTTGTTTGCTCTTTGATTGATCATAATAATGGTTCACAAATGGTGTGGCTCCCAGAGTCAAGGTGAATCGTTGTTTATGTGTTCGGTGCTAGTTGTTTGAGTTTCTTGTCGTTTTTTGTTGTTGGTCTTGTCAAAACATAACAATTAAACGTTGAAATTGGTACGGGCTCTCGACAGTACGAGCAGATGGTGGATAGTACATATCTTTTCTTGAATGATACATTGAATGATACATGTTCTAATAGTTGGCGTTTCGTGGGTTTGCAAAGTACTATCTTGATTGAAATTTCATTTCAACTGCTTTTTTGCCATCCAACCAAGAGAATGCTCTAAAAATGGAGAAAGAAAAACCATGAAATTGAGAAGGTTCATAATGATATTAATACTAGTTCAGAAAACGGCTAAAAGGGGAACACTATGTGTTACGCGTCATGCAGCAGTGCGCCTCGGTTTCTTTCCATCCCATATAAATGGCTCTATCTCTCTTTAACCTCTCATTAGAGCGGTTAGGCTCTCTAATAATTGACAGATCACCCGCATAACTTGCGATGATCTCTCATCGAAAACTGAGAAGCACTCCCTCCTGCTTCACTCATGAATGACTCACAAGTGTATTCATATTCAACCCACATAAACAGTTTTCAAGATCACTTATGTCGTCTGTTTTTCCCAACCCATCAATTAGCGTACAAAACGAGTACACATCCATTGATCAGCGATCGTTTAAGCAATCTCCCGAATGTATTCCGAATATAATTCCCTTCCAATTCCGAAGGGTGCTCCACTTTCCTGGCCCAATGATTACGAGTGTTTGTATTCGCATTCGTCTGTAGGTCGCAGACTACGTCACTTTTTGTCTGTTCGATGTTTATTTTCTCACTTCCTCTCCTCTGCGCACTCGATTCGCGCACTTTCATTCATTCATTGGCTAATTTATCGATGATTAAGCACTGAATGCATTCGCATTCGCATGATCATTCGCAGAAAAACCAATGGTGAATACTTTTGCACGACTCACTCATTCACACGCTGATTCAAATTGACCGAAAATTAATTTGCACTTGATAATTGCTATTATTTTCTGTGTGGCTCCACTTTGATCGACGGGAAATCCTATGCAGAAACCGGTCAAGAGATGCAGTGTTTTGTTTCTTTTTCCAAGTACAGTGGGGACTCTTTTTTGGTGGATATGTGCTTAGCACATTTTCGTATTAAATTCTTGTTTTGAAAGATATTTAACAAAGGAAAAGGCGTCATCCACCAGCGTCATGGGTGGATCCACAGCGAAGACCCCGCTTAACATTTCTTTAATTTTCAGTGTTGTTTTGATGGCAAATATTTACTAGCGGATTGCTCCCTTGTGACTGCAATTTTTCCTTTAGTTGGAGACATTTTTCAATCCCAATTTAGTTGCAGACTCCGTCCGTCGCCTCTCTCTCTATTTAAAGGCAACAGGTGTCCGCCCCAGAGAGAGCGAGAGAGAGAGCTACATATATACAGTGGCTCCTGTCTTTAGCCGAATGTCAATGCAGTAGTACAAGTCTTTAGTCGAACGTCTTATACAGTAGTACCTGTCTTAAAGCGATGGTCATGCAGATCTCGAACTTGGCTTTTGGCCATAAAACCAAATCAATCCACAAAAACGTGAAGCAACTGCCACAAAATAGAAAAAAAACATGGAAAGTTGTACAATATACAAGGAAAAAAGCAACAGCAACGAAATAGCAACAAAAGCCACAAATGACAACAACAAATAAATAAACTATTTAGCAATAAAAATACAAAATAAAAGAAAAGAAAATACAATTAGTGTTGTGTCTGTCCCGTAGCCCCTTTAGGCCTCTGGAAGCGCCGTCGATCCATCCATCGTCCGTCGTCTGACTCGTCAAGTATTCCATGCGCGAAATATCTTTTGGATTGTGTTTTGTGGGTTATGCAAAAGATACAAATACACGCCCCAAAACATAAACTAAACTAAAAGACAGAAAAAAGAAACACAAAGCACGTCCATCATCGTCGTCGTCATCATCATCGCTGGACAGTGAAATCTTTTTGTTTGTTCGGAATCCGTAAGGCGTTTCGTAATGAAAATTAAACATTATCCGGGAAAAGCCGTGGATGCCAGCCTCTCGCTGGAGGGCAGCAGTGCCATGGGTGCCATCTATGAAGCCAATTGGTTGCAGGCTGCGGCACCACTTCCACTTCCACACCATCCCCCAGGTGGAGGTGGAGGTGGAGGTGGGGGAGGCACAACGACCCTCAGTCGACAGGGAAGCAGTGCGGGTACCAGCTTTCTCCTGGATGGAATCTCGGCGTTGAGCAAATACCAAATGACACTGGAGAATATCCGGAAATTGGAACAGCAGTCAAGGGACAGACGGAGGATTGTGAGCATCAAGGAGCTGAATGGCTATCGACCATCGGCGCTGCAGCATCACCAGCAGCAACAATTGGAGAACAATTGGGTGACAGAGGATCAGGATCAGGAAGAGAAGCCTCAAAAGGAGGAGGGTCCCGCACCCGGTCCCAATCCCAAGCAAAAGATCCCGGAACACGTAGAAGAGCCTGCTGTCAATCATTATGTCCTCGATCCCACAGAGAGGCCGCGTGTGCCACGCCCACGGCAGCAATTGTCGGTGAAACCACCTTCGCTGCGACGATCCCAGACCATGGCCATGCCTCCGAGCTATGCAACGATGAGATCGCCACGAAAGCAGGCAAAAGGTGCAGCCGCAGCCACAGCCAGCAACAGTAGTTCCTCCGCGTACTCTACGTTCTCCTCCGCTGCGGAGGATCTAAGGGATCCTGCAGAGCAGGTGGTGATATGCCAGCAGCCGCAGCGTGGCATGCAGCCTGCTCCGCGAGCAATGCAGCCCCACAGAGAGCCTGCGCCGCGGCTGATGCAACCTCCTAGAGAGCCGCCACCAGAGCCGCCTATACGTGCCTCCAAGGATCAGCAGCCATTGCCAGCACAACGTACCTTCAAGGAGCAGCCAGTGCCGCAGCTACGTGCCCCGAAGGAGCAGCCATCACTGTCACAACGTGTCGCCAAGCCCCTGAGCAGATCACAGACCAGTGTCCAGCGCTATGCCACTATTCGCATGCCCCACCACTCCACCTCCTTCTGTCGAGCGGCTGCCCGATCCACAGATCCATCGGCAGTGCGGAGGCACAGCCTGGAGCAGGCCCTGCAGGGACTCCAGGTTCAGGAGGAACAGCCTCGTCCGAGGGTGGCGGAGCCGCGACAAATCTCACCCACTGCCTCAAGCAATGGCAGCTCCAAGGATCTCAATGGGGAGGGTTTCTGCATACCCCGACCTCGTCTCATCGTTCCCGTTCACACATATGCACGTCGTCGTCGCACAGGGAATCTCAAGGAGCAGTCGAGTGCCGGGCAAGAGGAGGAACCAGCGAAGGGTAAGGGTAACAGTTGCAGTTACAGTTACAGGAAGATGGTGCACAGACGATCATTTTGGGGTACATAAAGTAATGATTGTGGGGATCTATTGGGGATATATTGATCTTAAGAATGGGATAGATTATTTTCTTTTATTCTTCTAACAATTTCCCATCTCCAATCTCCCTTTCCAGATGGACGCGTGGAGGTCTCACGCGAGGGCAAATACCTCTCGACCCTCTCCGGAGCGAAAGTCCTTGGGGAGCTCGCGATCCTGTACAATTGCCAGAGGACTGCCACGATTACGGCCATCAGCGAATGCAATCTGTGGGCCATCGAGCGGCAGTGCTTCCAGACCATCATGATGCGCACGGGGCTCATTCGTCAGGCGGAATACACGGATTTCCTCAAGAGGTAATACCCTTTTCCACCACACACAGGAGACATTATAAATTATTTCCTCAATCGTGGAAAATGGAAAATGGGAAATTTGTATGTGCATTTTTAATGAAAGTTTCTTGCATTTTTTGGCCTTAATTAATGTACATTTTGCACTTAATTATATCAATTCCGCAAATGCACAGCAGCACTTCGTGTTTGCCCCATTATGGGGCACACAGCAAAATCGCTTCAGCTTAAGGATTTCTTCATTTCTTCATTTTTTCGCTTTTATTTTTTGAGGTAAAGTAACTTTCTCCAGACAGAGCCATCATCGACAGGCATCCCCACATCTGCACATCGTCTCGTCTCGTCATCGTCATCGTCATGGTCATGGGCGTCGCATATGACGTGCGGCCAACGAACGCATAGAAATTTGTTGTTTTTTTCTTTTCAAATGGAGCTCCAACCAGTTTTTGGCCTTCAGTTCCAGATGCAAGATGCCAGTCCCGTAGATCGCGCAGATCTTTCAAGTGACCAATGAATTAATTGGTGGCATACGAATACCCGCCGTTAGGTGCCCGTAAAACCATAATTGAGGTTCGCCATGCACTCGTTTCGAGACCATGAAATGGCGGAAAAGCGAACTGCATTAACTTCGAAATGAAAATGAAAGTGCGATTGGGGATGCAATTGCGATGCAAAAGATACAGATGCAGACATACTCGTACACTGGCAGCATTTGCGCCAGAGGGATCTAAGACTTGCTTTGGAATCTCTCTAATCGAGAGCTGAGCACTAATTGCAGTACTTTCTCTACCCCTCCATTCCTTTAATTTGTGATCGATCAGATTTTGAAATTTAATGAAGAGAGTACCAAAGATTTATAGATCACCTTGATGATGCATTAGTGAACAAGTCAGGGACAAGAGAGACAAAAATCAAGTCTAACGAAGAGAATGGAGAGATTTTCTTAGTTTCTTTGAAATCTCTTATTGCAATTGCAGCACTTTCTTTTAATTTGAATTGAAGTTAATCCAAATATATTGCATTTTTTACAGTGTACCCATTTTCAAAGATCTTGCGGATGATACTCTTATCAAAATCTCCGATGTCCTGGAGGAGACGCACTATCAGCGTGGCGACTACATTGTGCGCCAGGGGGCACGCGGCGACACCTTCTTCATCATCTCCAAGGGCAAAGTGCGGGTGACGATCAAGCAACAGGATACCCAGGAGGAGAAATTCATTCGAATGTTGGGGAAGGGCGATTTCTTTGGCGAGAAGGCGCTTCAGGGGTGAGAAAAGCACAGATTAAAAATCCGTGAATCCTAACTAACGATGCTAAATTGATATTTTCTTTATAGGGATGATCTACGCACAGCCAACATTATTTGTGATTCCCCCGAGGGCGTGAGTTGTCTGGTGATTGATCGCGAGACCTTCAATCAGTTGATCTCCAATTTGGACGAAATCAAGCATCGCTATGACGATGAAGGAGCCCTGGAACGCATCAAGTAAGACAGGGAGAGTCTCCCTATAGATACCCAAAAGTAATTCCATATTATTTTCCAGAATCAATGAGGAATTCCGGGACATAAATCTCACAGATTTGCGTGTGATTGCCACCCTAGGAGTGGGTGGTTTTGGACGCGTGGAACTCGTGCAGACCAATGGCGATACGTCGCGCTCGTTTGCCCTCAAACAGATGAAGAAATCACAGATTGTGGAGACACGCCAGCAGCAGCACATCATGTCCGAGAAGGAGATCATGGGCGAGGCCAATTGCCAGTTTATTGTGAAGCTCTTCAAGACCTTCAAGGATAAAAAGTATCTGTACATGCTGATGGAGAGCTGTCTCGGTGGAGAGCTCTGGACCATACTGCGGGACAAGGGAAACTTTGATGATAGCACAACGAGATTCTACACCGCCTGTGTGGTGGAGGCCTTTGACTATCTGCACTCGCGGAATATTATCTACAGGGACCTGAAGCCGGAGAATCTGCTGCTGAATGATCGCGGCTATGTGAAGCTGGTGGACTTTGGTTTTGCCAAGAAGCTGCAGACGGGCCGCAAGACCTGGACGTTCTGCGGAACGCCCGAATACGTGGCCCCCGAGGTGATACTGAATCGTGGCCACGACATAAGTGCGGACTATTGGTCGTTGGGTGTCCTAATGTTTGAGCTGTTGACGGGTGAGTGTCGTAGAGATCTCTCGTAAAGTATTACTCACTAATTTGGGTTTCTTTTTCTTCAGGTACCCCTCCGTTTACGGGCTCCGATCCCATGCGCACCTACAACATCATACTTAAGGGCATCGATGCCATCGAATTCCCCAGGAATATCACACGAAATGCCAGCAATCTGATCAAGAAGCTATGTCGTGATAATCCCGCCGAACGTTTGGGCTATCAGCGTGGCGGCATCAGCGAGATACAAAAGCACAAGTACGGTCCTTACAGATTAAAACTAGACTTGCATTTGGGGCACATTCATATGCGTATTTGAGGAAGAGTTTGGTTCCACTGGGGAGTTAAAATGATTTTGTGTTTTCTAAAGCAGTATGTTATACCACAAATCGCATAGCACATATTTCAGGTCTTATAATATTGGATTAATTCGATCTGTATTCATTTAGAATCAGAATATTTGGATTGTTTAAAATTGTAAATAATGTCAAATCGTTCCTGGCGAATAGTCTCTTTTTCGTTTCTTTCGAAATTAATGGGTCCTAATGCAACAGAGTCTCTCAACAGAAGTTCACTTCTTTTACAAATTCCAAGTTCCCTAACTAATATGAACATTACCCTTATAGATGGTTCGATGGCTTCTACTGGTGGGGCCTTCAAAATTGCACACTGGAACCACCGATCATGCCAACAGTCAAGAGTGTGGTGGATACCACAAACTTTGATGACTATCCACCCGATCCGGAGGGTCCACCCGCAGATGATGTCAGTGGATGGGATAAGGATTTCTAGTTTGGATTGGAATATTTTTCGTGTTTCCTAGACGATGCTCTCTCTCTATGCGTCTGCTACAATCATAAACAAAAAAGGAGAACAAACAGGAAAATAAGGAGGAATGGAGAATACAGAAGAATTGATCTTAAGTGCGCCATATGTACGCCAAAGCCAACAGTCAGCAGCTTTAATCCCAAAGCTGCCACCCAGTCCCCAAGAGTAGCAGTCGCACAAAGCACAACCCACACACACATCGGCTCATCGTCTTAGCATATATTTATGTATCCTTATGATGTGCAACAGAATGAATTTATTAACGAGTTTATAACTATTATTATGTAATGAGAATGGGATGTCTAGTTTTCGTTTTTGGAATTGATGTAAATTGTAAGTAGGTGGGAGCTCTGCTCTGCTCTGTCATTGTAAAAATTATTTTCTATCTGTATATCTACGACTATATATTATTAACATAACGACATATTATTATTATTATTCATTGTTAATGTATCACACACCCACACACACACACAAACAAACACATACAAATCGGGTTGCCTTATAGTCTTTAAGAGTATATTTTAATGCAACATATGACCAAGAACGATTTTTTAATTTCATGTCTCCCCTCCCCCATAATATTTGTTACTTTTTCCCCATAATATTTCTTATATCTCTTCTAACTTTCATTTAGTTCTAGCGATCATTTCTGTTATTTGTACGAATAATAATGCCTTTTAAATTGTCTTTTTTAAGTAAAACAGTTAGAAATTGAATAAACAAATTTATGCGACAAATAATGGATGGGATTGGTGGATAAAGATGATCCTCTTTTAACATTTTTAAGTTATATGTTTAATTTAGATATCTAGCTAGCTCAGGCTAATTATATAATTGTAAAAGCGCATCATGCATTTTGCTTGGAAAGCTTCGGCTTGGTGTCGCTTAGGTCAGATAAAAGTTAATAATTATTGTAAGAGGAAAAGCTTGTCGTGTTTATAGATAGTTACTTTTCATATAGCAATATCTAAAGAATATTTCATAAGAAATATTCACTCAAAGTTCGACCTCATCCAAGGTACTTCCTGCTTTTGAGGTACCTCTCTATTTTGTAAGCTCCACCGGCCGCAAACTCACGTTTTCACTCAAGTGTAAGAAAATATGCAAAAAGACGAAGAAAAACTGAAAGTGGAAACGAATTTGGGCAAAAAAGCAACACACGTCTACGTGCCAAGCAAAAGAAAACCCGAGAATCAACCGTAGAGAAAGCCGAGAAAAATCTGTCAAAGTGCATGACAGTTCATATGGGAACATTCTACGCCAGACGCTCGACCGGATCAGAACGGAGCACCCAAAACGGAGAAGTTATAGATTCATTATTTAATGAATTAGTAATAATGCTGCTAATTCTGAAGTGGAGACTATTTTGGCTGCTGCTGGCGTTGGGTTTAAGCCTGACGCTTGGAGCCAGTTTGGAGAATAAAAGCCATGCCGAAGTCCAGCAATTGATTGGTGAGTAAATGAAATCTCTGCAAATCCCAAGCTAATTGTGGTACCCTTTAGCTTGCCAACAGCCCAAAGCTCCGGGCCTTTGTCGTGGACGTCAGCTGCGTTATGCCTACAACAAGGAGACGGGCAACTGTGAGAGCTTCTACTACACGGGCTGTGCCTCTACGGAGAACAACTTCCTTACCTTCGAAGAGTGTCGAAGAGACTGCATGCAACGCTTGCGTTACTGAAGCCAGGAAAGACGAAACACCCTTGCTTTTTTCTTAATATATTTATTGCTATAAGAAATGTCATAGTTTGCCTTAAGATCTCTTTGACTTCCTGCGTCGATTGCCATTGAAAGACTTTGATGAACTACCACCAGAAAAGTGGCACAGGCTGTAGGCCAGTACCATCAGCACCACGAAGATCAGGCACACACTATCCAGCGAGTGATAGACGAACCAATTGAGTTCTATGCCTGGGGACTGGAGCATTTCGGCAGCCAGCAGACCATGCTGGATCACATGCTCCACACACCAGATGGCGGATTCTAGGGGACTGTTTTCACGCTGGTTAAAGATCTTGGAGATGCCAAGTGATCGAGTGGCATAGCTTCAATAGAGAGAATAGTGTTAGCCAGATTATATACCAAAATATCAATGATGTATACCTCGTGTTATTCAGTTCGTTGAGGGCCTGCGTTACGCTCGTCACTCTGATTTCTTCATAGTCCAGCTTCAATCCCATTCCTCGATTTTGCACGGAAAAGGCATTCAAGAACTGATCGCCATAGATGGGTGTAACCAACATAGGCTTTCCGCAATGTACCGATTCTGTAGTGCCAAGAAGACCGCCATGGGCCCAGAATAACTCCACTTTGGGGTGACCTGAAAAAAGGACCCAATTCAATAAGGTATGTGGTCCAGAGGGATTTAAGCTTTATCTCTCACAAAGAAGTGCCAACTGTGGAGCCCATTTCACAAACAGGAATTTAGTAGAGTCCATTTTAGGTTTTTCATCCGCCTCCCATTTCCAGATCACGCGCAAGGGCTGCCGTTCCAAAGCCTCAACAATGGCCGCAAGCTTATCCGCATCGATGCTGGAGATCCGAACCATAGACCCCCAGCTGATGAAGATTATGGGGACCTCCGATTGATCGAGGAACTGAGCAATGTTTGGAGGCAGCTCCTGCTCCGCCTGGCTGGTAAGGTGCACACCGCCCACCTCTATGAATTGTCGGGACTGCGGACGACTGCCCATCAGGGAGTAGTGCTGGTTGCCAAAGATAAAGGCGGTCTGAGTGCGCGCCACTTCATCAACATCCACATCGATGCCGAAATGCTTCCGGACTAAGGCGTTGTCCGCCCGAATTGAGTGATATTTGTAGAGGAGCTTTAGCATCTTTGCTTGGATGAAGTTCACCAGACGCTCGTCCCAGCTGAGGACACCGGCAAATCCCACAAACTCCGACTGGATGAAGGAGGGTGTGTCTGGCAGATCGATACGATCGTAGTAGTAGGGCATTAGCGCACACGTGCTCAAGCCAATGATGGGCAGATCCATTAGCTTCGCCAAAGCCAGCTGGCAATCGGAATTGAAGTACTCCGTGAGCAGGAGGTCGTAGGGCTTCGTCTGGTGGCGCTTGAGGACCGTCTCCACATGGCCACTGGCGTAGAGGCGCTCACAGGACTCTTGGCCCTCCGAATGGAGAGCAATGTATTCCCAAAACAGAGTCAGCAAAGATCGGGTCGGTGTGTGTTCCGATAAAGGCACCAAATTGATGGTGGTGCTCGACTGATCCTCGCCTGCCTGGGAGATCAAAAGCTGCTCGTAGTTGGGCCACTCCGCCGCCTGGGGATGATTCACATACGAGATCACAGTGAGCTGATGGCCACGCCTCGCCAGTTCATTGAGTATGGGCATCACCACCTTAAAGTGGCTGAAACCAAAGTGCGGATACACAGCCAGCACATTTCCACCAAATGCTGGTGGAGGGGTTCCCGTAATGACGATTAACCACAACGCAATTAAAACGCTTCTGCTGATCCGCCACCACGTTGTCATCGTAACTTTGTTCTCGCGCGACTGCTTTCATCTTGATTATCTAATTTTACATGCATTCGTATATGTTTGATAAGAACGCTGTTCTGATACGAGTGGTTTTTGTTAATTTGTTGTTTTTCACTGCCAGTGCAGTAGAATTGCATTTGTGGGTCTTCACTAGTCATCAGTGCTGCCAAATTAACTACTTTATAGCTAGTCATGCCAGACGGAAATCGAACTACTTAAATTTAACTTTGTTCTTTTTGTATACCATTAACTAAATTATATTTGTGGCTTAATAATTGACATTTTTTTAATTACAGATACGGGTTGCAGCTATTTTTTCGTTTAAAAAGTTGACAGAACTACTTGTATTATCGAAAACACAACTCTGAATATGGCAGATTTTACATGATTGCTACATACATATGTACATCTTACAATTTGAATTTATCAAATACATGTAGAATGTATAGTATTATACAACTACAGCGACATTATTATAAACAAATTCCATTTAAATTTTCATTTGACGATTAGTAGTACTGGTACTTAAATTCTCTTTTAAGCTACCTACTCAGCTTCGTCTGTATTGGGCATTCCGTTTTGAACCATTTCACATTTCACAAAAAATTGGTCCTGCGCCGATCGGACCCTATTTGTCTGAGATATAGCTCTCCGAAGATTTAGATTTGCACATCATTAGAGTAATGGTTTTTTCTGTAGGCCATAATTCAGCTATCCGTCGGCCGATCGGGGCGTGGCATGTCTTTCCGTGATCGGGAAAGTCCTGCCAATCGACTGCCATCGGAAAAAAGGACATCAATTTTTTCGCGATTTTCGCAAAAAATCATGATGGTTACATCATTAAATTTGTCAAAAATCGGCCTCATTTTCGTAGGCGAGATTTTGATGCCGTTCGACAGTCTGGATCCTCACTATCCTGGGAGAGTTGGTCCTGCACCGATCTGGGTCTATTTTTCTGAGATATAGCGTTCTGAAGATCTGGATTTGCAAATCTTTAGAATACTGGTTTTTTCTGCACGCTATATCTCGGCTACACAGCTTCCGATCTGGGCGTGGCATGTCTCTCCGTGATCGGGAAAGTCCTGCCAATCGACTGCCATCGGAAAAAAGGACATCAATTTTTTCGCGATTTTCGCAAAAAATCATGATGGTTACATCATTAAATTTGTCAAAAATCGGCCTCATTTTCGTAGGCGAGATTTTGATGCCGTTCGACAGTCTGGATCCTCACTATCCTGGGAGAGTTGGTCCTGCACCGATCTGGGTCTATTTTTCTGAGATATAGCCTTCCGAAGATTTGCATATCATTAAAATATTTATTTTAGTCTTCCTTTCCTTTTAGCAAGTCGGCCCCTCCAGTAGCTAGGAATTCCTTGAGTCTCACACTGCTTTCTTCCGCCGTAGCTCCACGTCCTCTCGCGAGGTCGGAGAGATGACTCCTGGCTGGATTGTGGCAGCCACTGGCTATCCTTTTGCGAGCCATAGCCGTAATGCCATTGCTGTGTAGCTGACTCGACAATGTGGCGTCCCGCCTGCTGCATCAGGGACCAGTGATCGACGGCGGAATTGTTGGCCCACGGGAATCAAACGCTGGGCTTCAGCTTCAAGATGCGTAAGTGATTCAGTATATAATTTTTGACATATCTTAAAATACATATATCTTCCTCCACAGGGGACTTAAGTACCACCGCCAGACGGAGTCCTATCCAATCATTATCGAAGCATATTCGGGACAGACCGAGTCCTATCCCAGCCAGACAGAATCGTCTCATAGCAGGACAGAAATGCACCCCTCGCAAAATCCGTACCCAACAGCCACCATGATCCTTCGTTCTGGCCATCGAAACAAGGACTTTGACTATGGCAACCATTGGAGCGACTACGCTGGTTACTAGATAGATTTTGTTAGGTTAGGATATACGCGTCCATATATTTAGATAGTCGATACAAATGTTTTCCACTTGTTTATATATTTATACTAAGCTAAGTTATGATGAATAAAACTATTGAAAAATCATCCTTGCTGTTTTCTGTATCGGGGAAACTATGCCGATTACCAAAAGGCGTTGCACACCCAGATCGTTTCACAACCAGCGGAGAAAATTAGATATTTTTAATTGCTGAAAATGTCCTTGATCCTTAATAAGGACTCATCAAATCAGAGACATTTTTTCGATCACAGGAAGCCTTCGCACGCCCAGATCGGCCCACGAATAACGGAGAAACCTAAATACATATGTATGGTTGGGGTTGCTCCTTACTGAAGGATCAAGGAAATTGTTCAGCCACCAACGAGGGAGAAAACAAGATATATATGTCTGAAGAAAATATCCTTGATCCTTGGTCCTTGATAAGGACTGCATTTGATCAAGGATGTTATTCCGAACACAGTAAGTCGACGTTCGTCCAAATCAGGCCACAAATAGCCTAGAAAACTAAATATGGATGGAAGGGGCTGTTAGGGTCCTTTCCGAAGGATCAGGGATATTTTTCTGACCACGGGGGGCCATGGCATGTCCCGATCGGGCCACAAATAAGGGAGAAAACAAGATATGTCTGTCTGGAGAAAATACCCTTGATCCTTGGTCCTTGAGAAGGACTCCATCAAATTAGGGACATTTTTCCGAAGACAGGAAGCCGTCGCATGTCCCGATCGGGCCTCGAATAACGGAGAAAACAAATCTGGCTTGGGACTGGCTTTAAAAATGTAGTTCAAGAAATCACCGATAGCGGCGCCACCGTACAAAAAAAAACTCGCGTCAAATGGCCAAAATCTGGATGGGATACCAGGCGAACAGAAATCAGCAGTAAGCAACTGTAGCGAGTGCAAAAAAATGGTGCATACTTTTGGGGGTCCAAAAAATTTAAAAAAATCAGCGACCTTCTGCTGATTTCTGTTCGCCTGGTGTCCCATCCAGATTTTGGCCATTTGACGCGATTGTTTCTTTGTTTGTACAGTGGCGCCCCCATTGGCGATTTCTTGAACTACATTTTGAAAGCCAGTTACAAGTTTTGTTTTCTCCGTTATTTGAAGCCCGATCGGGACATGCGATGGCTTCCTGTCTTCGGAAAAATGTCCCTAATTTGATGGAGTCCTTCTCAAGGACCAAGGATCAAGGGTATTTTCTCCAGACAGACATATCTTGTTTTCTCCCTTATTTGTGGCCCGATCGGGACATGCCATGGCCCCCCGTGGTCAGAAAAATATCCCTGATCCTTCGGAAAGGACCCTAACAGCCCCTTCCATCCATATTTAGTTTTCTAGGCTATTTGTGGCCTGATTTGGACGAACGTCGACTTACTGTGTTCGGAATAACATCCTTGATCAAATGCAGTCCTTATCAAGGACCAAGGATCAAGGATATTTTCTTCAGACATATATATCTTGTTTTCTCCCTCGTTGGTGGCTGAACAATTTCCTTGATCCTTCAGTAAGGAGCAACCCCAACCATACATATGTATTTAGGTTTCTCCGTTATTCGTGGGCCGATCTGGGCGTGCGAAGGCTTCCTGTGATCGAAAAAATGTCTCTGATTTGATGAGTCCTTATTAAGGATCAAGGACATTTTCAGCAATTAAAAATATCTAATTTTCTCCGCTGGTTGTGAAACGATCTGGGTGTGCAACGCCTTTTGGTAATCGGGATAGTTTCCCCGATACAGAAAACAGCAAGGATGATTTTTCAATAGTTTTATTCATCATAACTTAGCTTAGTATAAATATATAAACAAGTGGAAAACATTTGTATCGACTATCTAAATATATGGACGCGTATATCCTAACCTAACAAAATCTATCTAGTAACCAGCGTAGTCGCTCCAATGGTTGCCATAGTCAAAGTCCTTGTTTCGATGGCCAGAACGAAGGATCATGGTGGCTGTTGGGTACGGATTTTGCGAGGGGTGCATTTCTGTCCTGCTATGAGACGATTCTGTCTGGCTGGGATAGGACTCGGTCTGTCCCGAATATGCTTCGATAATGATTGGATAGGACTCCGTCTGGCGGTGGTACTTAAGTCCCCTGTGGAGGAAGATATATGTATTTTAAGATATGTCAAAAATTATATACTGAATCACTTACGCATCTTGAAGCTGAAGCCCAGCGTTTGATTCCCGTGGGCCAACAATTCCGCCGTCGATCACTGGTCCCTGATGCAGCAGGCGGGACGCCACATTGTCGAGTCAGCTACACAGCAATGGCATTACGGCTATGGCTCGCAAAAGGATAGCCAGTGGCTGCCACAATCCAGCCAGGAGTCATCTCTCCGACCTCGCGAGAGGACGTGGAGCTACGGCGGAAGAAAGCAGTGTGAGACTCAAGGAATTCCTAGCTACTGGAGGGGCCGACCTGCTAAAAGGAAAGGAAGACTAAAATAAATATTTTAATGATATGCAAATCTTCGGAAGGCTATATCTCAGAAAAATAGGCCCAGATCGGTGCAGGACCAACTCTCCCAGGATAGTGAGGATCCAGACTGTCGAACGGCATCAAAATCTCGCCTACGAAAATGAGGCCGATTTTTGACAAATTTAATGATGTAACCATCATGATTTTTTGCGAAAATCGCGAAAAAATTGATGTCCTTTTTTCCGATGGCAGTCGATTGGCAGGACTTTCCCGATCACGGAAAGACATGCCACGCCCCGATCGGCCGACGAATAGCAGAATTATGGCCTACAGAAAAAACCAGTACTCTAATGATGTGCAAATCCAAATCCTCGGAAGGCTATATCTGGGGTAAATACGGCCAGATCGGCGCAGGACCTACTCTCCCAGAATTGTGACGATCCAGACTGTCGAACGGCATCAAAATCTCGCCTACGAAAATGAGGCCGATTTTTGACAAATTTAATGATGTAACCATCATGATTTTTTGCGAAAATCGCGAAAAAATTGATGTCCTTTTTTCCGATGGCAGTCGATTGGCAGGACTTCCCGATCACGGAGAGACATGCCACGCCCAGATCGGAAGCTGTGTAGCCGAGATATAGCGTGCAGAAAAAACCAGTATTCTAAAGATTTGCAAATCCAGATCTTCAGAACGCTATATCTCAGAAAAA